CCATTTGTGTGAACTTAGGAGTTTTGGTGTCTATCATAATTGAATGCATGGACACAAAAAAGAAAAAAACATTGACATGTCGACATTGCTATTATATGTCAAATGTTTGTAAAATAGATTATTACATTTATAAATTATTTAAGTTAGCATTTGACTTTTGATTCAAAAATAACTATAAACATGTTTGATTAGAAATCTTTCAACTTAAATCAAATGAGTTATTTTAAATATAAGTCAAAATATTAATTTTTAACTTATTAATTCTTATTTATACTTGCTATTTATATTTAAAAAATGTATTTGAGTTATCTCTTTATCCAACATATTTCTAACTTCATATGTGTTTTTCTAAAAGTATTTTAACTTAAGGATAAATGGCTTAATCTATTTTTATATAATTAGTTAAGTATTTAATTTGTCATTATGTTTTTAATTGTATCTATCATATTCCTATATAATATCTAATTCTTCAATACATCTTTCTATCAAGTTTTTCTATACAAATGGACATAATTATATTTGTCATTCTGAAACTACTATTGAACTATACAAGAATATAATTTTTATTTTTGAAAAAATAGTTTAAAAATATTTATTTTTTAAAATTTAATGGTAGAGTAATCTTGAAAATTTTTATTTTTAAAATATTTTGAACAATTTTAGGAAAATTTTCTATTATATTTTTATATAACTCATGAGAAATTTTAGAATGAAAAGTATAATTTTATTAATTTGAGTTTTTTTAAAAAAAATAGAGAATTGGATAATATATAATGACATAATAGACATGATATAAAAAAAATTCTGAAACTTACCTAATTATATAAGAATATATTGAACTACTTATCATAAATTAATTTCAATTTTAAGTCTTTTGAAGAGTTTTGATATCATATTAAAGTTTGTGAATAGGTTGATTGAATACTTTTGGAAAAGATGTTTAATATTTTTAGACTAACCAAGTTAAATTGGTTTTTTTTTCCTCACACTAAAGTACTTTTAAATCTTATTTCTCATAATAAATTACCTTTAATCTTTTTTTAAAAAATAGTACATTTTATGCTATGTAAGTTCCATGTGAAAAATCCATATCATTTTTTTTCTTAAAATAATATCCATGTCGTGTAAAAAATTAAAAAACCAGTAAAACCTCCCTCTCGTATTAATTAATCTCAATTTTGAAAAGAGAACATTCTTGGTAATATAAAATTTAAACCTTAATCCAAATTAATAAAAACTCTAAAAGCTACAAACTTTAATCAAATAAATCCTTTTTTTTCTATCATGGTCTCTCTACCTTTTTTAAAAGTTATTTTTAGGGTAAATATATTCACATTTTCTTAAATAATATTCAAAGTCTTCCATTTGTCTATAGATTTCTAATTGCATTTCATATGTTTCTGAAATTTTTTGAAATATTCAATGTGTCATTCGATCAAATTTTTTTTATCATAAATTCTTTTTAACCGAATTACCTTTTACTAAAATGTGAAAAAAATAAAAACTCAAAGTCACGTAAACTACTCTTTCTTGTTCTATTTTTGAAGTCTTTAGACTTTTTTTTTCATTTAAAAAATCAGGGGTATTTTCATCAATTTTTATTTACTTAACCAAAAAAATTAGTCGAAATGACATATTGACTATTTCAAACACTTTTAGATACAAATGAGATGCAATCGAAACCTAAGAACATATAAGAGATTTTAACTATTATATAAAATAGATAGGGAATATTTATTCATATTTTTATCTAAAAGATTCTTAATATATTCAACCGTATTTTGTATCAAAATATTTAATTCAAAGAATATTAATTGATAGATTTATATTAAGTTTACAACGAAGTATCTAAAGCTATGTTAATAATTCAGAATTCCAAGACTTAGTTAGAATTTCAAGAGTTAAAAAAATCTATAATACCCCAAAGTCGTTAAAAACCCTAACGATAGAGAGAGAGCAAAAGAGAAAGAGAAAAAGAAATGAGCAATGGGCAATTAGATTGGGATAAAAAAAAAAACTCGAATGACAATTTTTGTCTTCTTAGTTAGAAAGACAAATTGATTTCTCGGAGAGAGTTAGGAACAAACAAATAATTTAATGATAATATTTATTTTGTTAACTAGTTAGAAAGATGAATTGATTTCTTAAAAAGAAATTGACAAACTTTAAACAAAAAGCTCGTATCACTATTTGAATTAGAGTTTTTCCTTTCATAATTTTTACTTAAGATTACATTGCAAAACATCATTATCTATATCTAGTAAATAAGATTTAAAGCAAATCTTTTCATAAATAAGATTTTAAAATAACTTAACTTGGAAAATAAAAGCTCAAGTTAAATTGGATATTCATCTCCCTCGATTCAATGATGTCACAAAAGCTTGTTGGATTATTTATTATCTTCTCGTTTTTGACTAAGCATCTATCATGGCCGCTTTTCTCAAAATCAAGTTACTTTGAATCGATTTCTCTTTTTGTAATAGATAGAGTATAACCATTAATATTTGGTATTTAGTAATTTGCCTATTTAGGATGATGGATGATGATAAAGAGAAATAAAAAACATCCCCTTTATTCACCCACCCTTACATAGAGAATGGATGAGATGATTTTTTTGAAAAAGATACAATGAATTAATGATGACCTACAGAGAAAAAAGAAAGAACAATTCATATTCTTCCAATTTTGTTGGATATATTTTCATTATTTTCTTTTTGTATCTTTATGTTTTTTTTTTCTTTTAATCGTGTCTATCTTTTTCAAGAAACATAGCTTAATCTCTTTTAAATTGAATTTTGAAATTTTTTTTACATAATCTTTTTTTTTTTTTGTTTTTTTTTGGATTGGATTAAGATGAGAGTATAGAAAACAATCCACTCATTATCTAAGCTAAGCCTCAAAGGTTTCCTACTTGATTTTTAGAAAAGAAATACAAAAGAAAACTTACATGAAGATTAGGGAGGTCGATGCTATTTTCAAATTTATAGGAGAGCAAATTGCATAACCAAAAAGTTACAAGACACTAAAGCAACAAAACGGACATCATTAACCAACAAAACTAAAAAATGGCCCTACAAATCCACTCATCCCCATCTTTTTCTCTCTTCAAAAAGCCCCCTCATCTTCTTCTTTTCTCACCATTAACAAAACCTATCAATCTCAAAATTAATGCACAAACCTCAACAAACAATCCAACCCCACCTAACAAAAAACCCACCACAATCTCATCGGGTCAAGGATTTCGCTCACAATCACCGACAACGAACAACTACAAGCAAGACAACAAGTAGGGGTGGGAGTAAAAGGAAACCAAAGTCTTTCATTTGTCTCTAGACTTCTAATTGCATTTCTAATTACATTTCTTATATTTCTAAAATTTTTTAAAATATTCAATGTGTCATTCGATCATAATTTTTTTTTTAATCGAATTACCTTTTACTAAAATGTGAAAGAAAATAAAAACTTAAAGTCACATAAACTACTCCTACTTGTTCTATTTTTGAAGTCTTTAGACTTTTTTAATTTTTTTCATTTAAAAAATCGAGGTTATTTTCATCAATTTTTGTTTACTTGATCGAAAAATTAATCGAAATGACATATTGAATATTTCAAACACTTTCTCGTAGACAAATGAGATGCAATTAGAAAACTAAGAACATATAAATTTTTTTGAGTATTATATAAAAATAGATAGGAATATTTATTCATATTTTTATCTAAAAGGTTCTTAATATATTCAATTGTATTTTGTATCAAAATATTTAATTCAAAGAATATTAACCGATAGATTTATATTAACTTTATAATGAAGTATCTAAAGCAATGTTAATGAGTCGAATTCCAAGACTTAGTTAGAATTTCAAGATTTTAAAAAAATCTACGATACTCCAAAGTTGATAAGAACCCTAACTATAGAGGGAGAAAGCAAAAGAGAGAGAGAAAAAGAAATGAGCAATTGGCAATTAGAATGGGATAAAAAAAAAAAAACATAATGACAATGTTTATCTTCTTAGTTAGAAAGACAAATTGATTCCTTAGAGAGAGCTAGGAACAAACAAATAATTTAATGATGATATTTATTTTGTTAACTCGTTAGAAAGATGAATTGATTTCTAAAAAATAAATTGATGAACCATAAACAAAAAGCTTTGTATCACTATTTGAATTAGAGTTTTTCCTTTCATAATTTTCACTTGAGATTACATTGCAGAACATCCTTATCTATATCTAGTAAATAAGATTTAAAGCACTTCCTTTTCATAAATAAGATTTTAAAATAACTTAATTTGGAAAAAAAAAAACTCAAGTTAAATTGTATTCATCTCCCTTGATTCAATAATGTCATAAAAGTTTGTTGTATTATTTATTATCTTCTCTTTTTGACTAGGTATCGATCATGGCTGGTTTTCTCAAAATCAAGTTACCTTAAATCGATTTCTCTTTTTGTAAAAGATAATGTATAACTATCGATATTTAGTATTTGATAATTTACCTATTTGGGACGATGGATGAAGATAAAGAGAAATAAAAACCATTCTCTTTATTCGCCCACCCTTACATGGAGAATGGATGGGATGATTTTTTTAAAAAAGATACAATAAATTAATGATAACCTAAGGAGAAGAAAAGAACGATTCATATTCTTCCAAGTTTGCAATTCATTCCAATTTTATTGGATATATTTTCGTTTTTTATATCTTTTGGTTTTTTCCTTTTAATCGTGTCTATCTCTTTCAAAAAGAAAGCTTAATATCTTTTAAATGGAATTTTGAAAATTTTCTTACTTAATTTTTTTTTACTGAATTAAAGATGAGAGTATAAAAAACAATCTACTCATTATCCGAGAAAAGAAAACAAAAGAAAACTCATAGGATAATTGGGGAGGCCGATGCTATTTTCGAATTTACAGGGGAGGCAAATTACATAACCAAAAAGCTACAAGGCAGTTTGGACAGGCACTAAAGCAGCAAAACAGACTTCATTAATCAACAAAACTGAAAATGGCGCAACAAATCCACTCAACCCCATCTTCTTCTCTCTTCAAAAAACCCCCACATCTTCTCCTTGTCTCACTATTAACAAAACCTACCAATCTCAAAATTAACGCCCAAACCTCCACAAACAATCCAACCCCACCTGACAAAAAACCCACCACAGTCTCGCCGGGTCAAGGATTTGGCTCACAATCATCGACAGCAGCAACTACAAGCAAGACAACAAGTTCGAGTGGGAGTAAAAAAAAACCAAAGGGTAGTAGAAAAGAGAGAGCATCAATAATTAGGAGGACTCCAGTTGAGAAACCAGCTTTTATAAGCCAACAAAATGAGGTTAAAGTTGAAGAACAGAGTAGAAATGAGAGTGCTTTTCTTCTTGCTTGGTTAGGACTTGGTAGCATCATTCTTGTTGAGGGCATTCTGCTTGCTGCTTCAGGTATGTCAACATTTAATGGGATTTCTTTTTTTTTTTTTCTTTTTTTTGGAGTTTGGTTAAATTTTGATGAAGTGAAAGAAGCTAGAAATCTCAAATTTTGCTTAAAAAATTCGGCGATTTTCGAGATTAGATTGAATTTTGTGAGTTGGGTTACTAATCATAGTGTCAGATTTGAAAAATTTGTGGATGCTAGAGTGTTTTAGACTATTCAAGTTAATTTGGATATTGACCTCCTTTGATTCAATACTGTTAGAAAATTTGTTGGAATTATTAATTATCCACTGGCATGGTCAAGTTCCTCAAAATCAAATTGATTTACTAATTTGTTTGCGATTTCTCTTTAATTCAAGATAGTGTATAATTATCAACATTTATTGTTGACACTTCTTTGGTGTTCAATGTTTAGGTTTGGTGTCGTGTCTCCTTATGGCTATTGACTCCTATGAATTAATTTAGTTTCATCACTGGAAAAATGATGTTATTCTATGTCATATTATTATCGATGAAAAGAGAAAGCTTTGTCTTTCCTCGTGGGGTGGAGGACCAGGAGTCCTAAAGTCCTTTTTTCGATTGAAGGCTTTTTTGGGACTGAGTCTCCGGGTCTAGAACCATTTGCCATAGAATTTCTTGGCGCAATCCTTGTAATTTTGTCGAACCATGGCTTGATTAGCAATAGATTTTATTGAAAAAATAAAATAAAGTACACAATAGCCTGTCGTCTAATTTGTTTAACAATGAATTTGAATTTGGCATAACTAGTTCATAACTGAACAATTATGCTATTCCTCCACAAGAGGGTGACTACAAGGTAAATGGAATTTATTTGTTTCATAAAGGAGCTTGTTTTGCTACTAGGTTAATGCAATTTCCTCAGTTTTATTATTTATTCTTTCCACACTATGCAACAATAGGTGGCTCTTTAGGGGGGTTATACCAGATTCATCTCTTTTATACTCTTAATCTGATAATTTCTGCCTCAGCATGCAATTCTGGCTTAAAGAGTTGTTTCATTTGGCACTTCAATTTTTAGAAATTATTCAACCTATCGAAAGTAGGGCAATGTGTCATAAGATTTCCCTTAGCCTTGCCAAATGCTCTAGAGAATGATGCAACTTAAAAAAAAAAATGGATGGCGCCTCCTAGCATTAACATGACTAGTAAAGCTAGTTCACTATTATAAAGAAAATGAGGTAAATGATTCTATTTTGTTTTTATAGTTATCACTAACAGTGTTTATGAATATCAACTCCTCAGCTCCTATTGAAAAAATAACTCAGCATTTTCCTTCAACAGGCTTCCTACCAGAAGAATGGGATAAATTTTTTGTGAAGTATCTATACCCATCTTTCACCCCTACAGTTGGCTTGTTTGTTGCTGGAACCGTTGCATACGGAGTTTTGAAGTACATGCAGAATGAGAATCTTAAAGACCGAAAATGATACTGTGTGAATACAAACTAATAATTCCATATTGTATGAGAAGCAATCTACGTATTATGAGTGGTCGTTATATGTTGTTTCTTTAGGCTGTATTTTGAAATATTTTTAATGAATTGATGAAGATGCATCATATAAGAGAAAATTTTACCCTTCTGTTTGGGGATGATAGCCACCTGTAGTGAGTTCTTTGAGTGCCTCTGCATGTCATATTCTGCTGCTCATCACATTGTCTAGCATTTGGCTTCTATGCTCTAGAAAATACAGTAAGGTGTGATCAATTATTGCTCTCTCTGAATAAACTGTGCATAACTTACCTTGTGATTTGAGTTATTTGAATGATTGACAAGTTTCCTCTTCCTTTGACCGGATATTTTGCTTCGACTTTTTAAAGTCATGATCGTCTACTGTTAAATTTAATTGTCATTTTCCCACGGTAGTGCTGCCACTATGTTGAATCAATGCTTGCAGTTCTATTTTCAAAGCTTGAGAGTTGGAAACCATCCTTTGTTATGCTGCTTCCATTTGGACCTGCTTGATCGATAGTTCCCTTTAAACAAGTAGGGTAAATATCAAGAACATTATCAGAATACCTATTCTTTATAACCCATGGCACTGACTGTCTGACTGAGAGGTCTTAGCATTACAAGACATCTGAAATGGCAGCATACAGATTATAAAAGCAAAATGTAATATAACTGCAGAAATAGGCATGATCATTTGTGGTCATCTTGGACAAGAGATTTCTGACAAGAATAATTCACAAGGCCTGTTCTTGTTGCAGACCTAATGAGATAGTTTTGATTTTTGTGCCTGATTCATAAACAATAAACATTGGTTCTTGAACAATAAAAATATTGAAGTTTAATTTAGGAAAGGCTACTTGTTACTGATCTGGCTGTTGAAAGCTGAATTGCCCAATTTCTTCTATCAAAAACTTAATTAAACACTACTAATTGTGTGAGTACTACGTCTTAAGTTACGATTTCAGCTTTGATTAACTACTTGATTTCGTAAAAGATTTATTGCCTTCTGTTATCATCACTTAAGGTATTGCAGCATCATTTCCTAGCTTATTTTTGCTTATTAGATTAAGGAAAACAGCAGTCTTACACCAAACACTGAAGATGACAGAATGAGTAGTATTGATCAACTGTAGTCCTTATTTGTCTACTACACACTTCTGTGGATTTTTGCTTTATCTGGTTTGGAATTGGAATGACTTGACTAATTATTAGTCGCTAGTACAGGGAATGAACCAAACTTGATAAGGTGGTATTTCTCAAAGGTATTGCAGTTGTTTATCAAACTGTTTCTTTCTATTTGGTCATGGTGCCTACTTTTGAGGCTGTTTCTTGCAAATATTTTTCATTGAATATGAACTGTTTTGTGATCTTCTTCCTCTTTTTTTCCTTTAGGAAGGGGCATAGAGGATATTAGAGCAGATTCTTTTGTAGTTTCTGAGCACTGTAAAGCTCTTGCAAATTTTAATTTCATCTTGCGCTAGTACTTTAGCTCACAGTTTGCCTTGTTTGTTGGTTGAATTCACCACTATCAATTATAAGAGACTGTCTTCAAGTCTGTCTTTCTCGTAAACATCATCTGTTTTCAGACTGTAGAAGTTGTGAAAAATCTTAGCGACTTCTTTTTGATGTTAACCTCGTGGAGACCTGTACTTTTGCAGTCAGGTATGAGCTTCAATTTGGCAGTAAGAATGATATTGAATGCCGTGTGCGATCTGTTGAATAGTAACTAGCTAATGATTGATTAGACTCGAAACTGAAGTACTGAGATCATTCTTTCATGTTCAAAAACTTAAAAGGCAGCATGCAAAAAATTTCAAGAACTATAGTCATTCAATGAATAACAAGTTTCTCGACAAGTATGTAGTCTTAAATGTTTACTGAGCAACACTAGCGGTGTTGGTGGATTGTTTTTGTCAATTCTGGATTTCCTACTTTGTTCTACGTACTTATCTAGGTTTGTGTGTGCACGTCCCTTCTCATTCTCAATAAACCATCAAGGAAACTAGGCTGTGAGGATCAATTCTAGCTAATAGAGATAGTTTCTTCCTGAACTGTAAAGATTTGAGTATATACCTACAAAATGGAAAGATTAATTGAAGTTGCAGGCAGTAAAGGGATAGTAGATACTTTTTAAGAAGGGGGAAATTTATGAGTTGGGATTTCCATGCTATGATTATGGTTTATTTTGCATATACAATCTACTAGGTGGGGCAAATAATATCCTTGCAGTGTTCTCATGATTAAAGAGTATGTACATTTGCATGTGCTACATGATGACCCTATTTTCGTTTACCTTCTTGCACTAAGGATTGCTGTACTTGGTGTAGGTGGAACATTATGTATCCCCACAGCTCTATACTTGTAAGATCATGAATTTGGTGTCCCTCAAGGAGATCTCAGGGTCATCTTTAATGGGCCACCGAAATCATTAGTTCCCCGCGTATCAGTTGGTTTCAGGATTTCAAGCCATTCACTGTAAGCTCTCTTTGTGTCACTTCTTTAACAAAGTTGTGTGAAAATTAGATGACATGATTCTCAGAGGCCCCCCACTCCTCTAATCATTGCTTGCTCTTCCTTTGCACCTCCTTTCATTTTAATGCTCTAATCAATTTGCACCAAAGTTCTTTATGGCTTTTCTTCGTTTCTCTTCCATTCTTTTTATTGGTTGTTTAGAATTTATTACATTGAAATCAAAAGAGCTGGACTGTGATATGGACAGCCTTCAAGGAATTTTGTTTCCTTTTCTCTTTTGCTTTCCCTTCCTTTTTTATCATAATTTATTCCTTACAGTGATATTGATAATGACATGCTTGTTTTGAGCTAATTTTACAGTATGTGGGGAAAGCGAGAGATGTTTATACTACAAGCGTCGCCCTCAACCTCAAGATTTAGAACGAGCAGCTAGTTGCTGTGAACATCGTTGCCCTCTTTCTGGTGTTGTTAAGAATACAGCTAAGTCCAAAGCAATTAGCTCGTCGTTTAGGTAAGAATTAGCTTAGTTGACAGGTACAAAAAACACAGCACACTCGAACAATTTCCTAGGCATGCTGGAAACTGTCAAGGAAGAAGGTGACTAATTAATTTTGATTCTCACTCACACTTGATTACTGTGATCAAGATGTGATAACCTAATCTTTAGGATACTGCTAGGGGCAGTCATGTCTGTCTTTTTGACTCTTTATGGATCATGTTGAATTCACATGTGAGTGGTAACTATTTCACATAGGAAAAGAATGAGAAATTTGTGGTGTTTATACATAATACGTACCTATGATCATAGTTTTAAATTACGAACAGTTGAAAAAAAATCGCGATTACTATCGAGTGTCGTGACTTACTATAATACTAAAATAACAATAATGGGATGCTCAAAAACCATTACATAACGATCGTTATATAATGTAATGGCTGTTATTTAAAACTATACCTGTGACTTTTTAATCTAGATTTTTGGGTTAAAGTGATATCTATCTTTATGCATAAACCCTCTTATGCGCGGACTCAAGTGACTCTCTAATATAGTTCTCCTAACAAATCATCTATGACCTACACGCATATATTTGGTACCATAGAGAACGAGAATAGTTGCGATAGACACAATTGTTCCTAACATCAATCTAATTTATATTATAACGATCCAAATAGAACACAATTGTTCCTAACATCAATCTAATTTATATTATAACGATCCAAATAGAACAGTTGCAATAAACATCATATTGTATAAACTCTATCTAGAGAATAATCCAAATAGAGCGGTTGCAATAGCGGTAGACGTGATTGTCCTTAACATGGGTCTAATCTATATTGTATAACCTATCACTAGATAAAAGCATCGTCATGAACTAAAAAGAACCTATAAATAGGTTTCAGGATTCTTTGCTTAAGCTTGTTTATTTTTTGTAATAAATTATGGAAGAGGAAGACAGAAGGCATGACTTTTGTGCTAGTAGGTCAAAGACCAAGAGGCTCAGGCGCGGATTGCCACTTTTCCACCGCTGCCTGGTGCTGACTACTAATTACTATCTCCATCACTTTCTGATTAGGTTTCAAGAATCTGATTAATATATAATCTTCTTTTGATGATTATGATTAAGATAATGTATTGCTAAATATTTTAATGCTTCTTTTTGTGCTTTAGCATGACTTTATCGAACCTTACTTACTCTAAAGAGTTCCAAATTTCTACTTAAGTCAAAGTAACTTATTTCATTTGAAAGAAGAATATTTGTTTTTTTGCTTGCAAATTGATGCCACTTGAAACCGAACCAGCTGGCTCCCAAAATTGAATCTTGTTGCTGCTTTTGGTCTACCTAATTAAAAATGGTGAATTGAACATAGGAATGTTAGGCCCCCTAAGTACAGACTATAGACTAGTTAATTGTTAATGTATATGAACCTTAGATGATTCGAATAGGATAATCAAAACATCACGGATACCATGAGCACTAATCGTATATTTAATTCGATGAATGTGGCTAAAATTGGGGTTAAACTTCTTGAATTATACTCTGAAATTGTCTCTGCTTTTAGCTTAATCCTATAACCAAGCTGATACACAAGCAACGTGAAGCGAAGACGATTAGAGCTGGTGTTTCCTTGTGTTTCCGCTTGATTGACTAGATGGCTCATTACATGCCTTTAGTACACTGGTAAAATGTGCATCTTTCGTGAAAGAAAAACTGGAAAAGCATCTGAAATTGTCGTAAAAAGAAGCAAAATATAGTCCAATACAATCAAATCATAGCCTCACAGCTCAAATCCCAACAAAGTTTTCTTGGTTAAATCTTGAAAAAAAAAAAAAAAGATGAAAACAGTGGGGTCCTTGAGAAAGAGGCTAAGCTTATTGGCTTTAGCTAACAGTATAAGAGCACACAGGTTGTTCTGAAGGTGACAAATGCATCACCTAAAAACTTGGCAAATCAAACTTGGCAATGTTATGGCCATAGAGAATTTAGGATAAGCTAAAGGTCAATATCAATTTCTTATTATCATTTACATGAATTAGAAATTTATAAAAAATATTTTACTTTTCAAACAGATTATTCATATCATAATTATCATAATAATTTTTTTTTCTCACAAGCCATAAATACTTAATGATTAGTCAAGAGAAGAAAATATCTTCAAGAAGATATTGGTATGCAAAAATAGTATACTAGAAATTATTACAAATATTAACTACCTTAATCAACACATGCATTAATTACCATCCCCAAACAAAACCCAAAGCCCGACAGAGAAAGGAGAATATAAAAATAAAAATAAAAGAGCAATAAAACCCAAAATTACAAAAACAAAATCAAAATAGGAAAATAAATACCACTACTGATCAAGGGCATTGGGGCCAGTACAGTAGCTAACCAAATGGTTCCAAACCCACTGAACCAAATACTTCCGTCTGATCCCATGCATGTTATACGTGGCATTATCATGATCGATCAACATCTGTCCCGTATAGGACCCACCACCTCCAGTTCCGTAAATACCCTCACACAAATCAGCTATTTCCACAGGAGCACTTGGGTCCTGTCCTGCATACCAAGCATTCACCAATGGATTTGTAGCCAATTCAGCAATCTCATGAGCGATCACACTGATCATTCCTTCAACACCCACGTCACCGTTAGGTGACTTTAGCGCCTTCAACCCAGGCATAAACGTGGGCACAGCAAAAGGATAAGCGCACACACCAGGGCACAGTTTTGCGCTGTTACCTACCCAAGCATAAGGCAAGGTGTACCCTACAATTGAAGGGAATGTAAAGTAATGAAACCCACAAACCTGCCCGCAAAAATCCTGAACGTACACGTCATCAGAAGTCAGCAGAAGATACAGTCCGTCTCTTGGACTGATAGGCAACGGCTTGGATCTAGCTGTGACAGCACTCTTGATCACCGACTGTATAGACAGCCTCGTTAACGACTTCCCATGAGAATAAAACCTGTCGTTCTTTTCCTGTCCTAATTGGACAGTATGCGAGATGTTGGCTCCAGTTTGGTCTGTGTAGAGTTGCACAGTCTTCCACCAGCCAGCAACTGATGGGTGCGGTGCATGGACGGCTGAGATTGAGTTGATAAACTCGCGAATAATCTTTTTCTGGGATTTTTGCCACCTACCGTACCAGATTGTGTGGACTGTTATGTTCCCGGTCAGGACCGGACCCATGTGGTAACGTAGGTGAACAAATTCCGATGACCCTTCAAATTTTTTGGAGGAGTCATAGAGAAGGCCTGAGCTGTTGGGTTTTAGGTGCGGCCATGGACGCCAGCAGGTGATGGGGCTGACGGCAAGAAGTAGGGCAAGTATGGTGGTGGTGAGAAACACTGAAGCATGAGATGTGCTTAGTGCCATTGTATTGGGATGGGAGGATGACGGGGTTGTTGTGCTATATCGGCATGGTGGCGGAGGAGAGGCGGATTGTGGGGGAGGAAGTAATTTTTGTGGTTTTATAGAGGGAGGTTGAGGGGCTTGTTCTATAAGATTGTGAAAAAAATTTGAAAGAGTGCCATTGATTTGCGGGTAATGGAAGACAGGTGGGTTTTTAAAAGTGAAGGGGTGGGAGTTGGGCCTACAGGTCAGAGATGGGTGGGGCCATCATGATAATCATGATGGCGATCGTCATCTCATCTTATATGACCTCATCGAGCCCTTTTTGCTTCTAATTGCGCGGGAAAAATTGTTGTGAGGGGTATTTTAGAGATTCAACATATTTCAATTATGTTAATAACTTATTTTTTTCATCCTTTTTTTATTAAATTAGTATTTTTATTTTTAAATTATTTTTATTTTTATTTTTGGTTAAGAAAAAAATAGTGAATAAAAAACTAAGCATCAAAAGAAAACGATTTGAAAAAAAAATGACTAGTTTAACAAAAAACTAATGAAATAATTAAATTGTTAATAAAATTAAAATGTAAAAAAAAACTAAATAACTAACTTTTAAAATGGGAGAAACTAAATAAATTATTTCTGAAAATAAAATAGACTAATTTATAATTTACTCTGTAAAAGTAGGTTTAATCCATATTTTTATTTTACGATGAAATAAAATTCGAATTTTAATAAAAGTCTAGTTAAGTCTGCCATGTAAAAAAAAAATGTTGATGAGAAATGTTTGGCTGTGACATTTTTTGTTTGAACTCGAATTTGGATGTGACAATAAATAGGGTGGAGCGGAGAAGTGTTTGGAAAACTACAACCAGTTGTTGAGGTAATTTATGGTCTACCTATCTCATTTACCACATGTGATGTAGGTTTTGAACCTCGTTGGTCAAAATTATTGAAAAATCTTGCATATCATTTACGAAGATATGATAATTGTCAAACTTAGATTAGATGGACAGATTGATCCGAAAATCTAATCAACCAATATTTAACTTGATTAAGTTTTAAAGTAAAATTGGTTAAAAAATATATTAAGATAAATTTAATTGATTTGATCGAAATACTTGATCTTGTCAAAGCCCGATCGAATTAAATATTAATTTACAAAAACGTAAATCATTAAAGTGAGATTTGAATCTTGGTAGCTTTTCTTTTAACATGAGATGCTTCGCTAACTCATTGCAATAACACAAGTTATACATATTGGTTTTAATGTTGTATTTAACGTTTCAAGCAAGAGGAAATGTTGAAAAACACAAATTATTAGTAGAATCTAAATCCTTAACCTCTCTCCTTTTCACTTATACTATTATCAATTGACTATGAATAAATTTATGATATCCTATGACAATATATATATATATATATATATATATTTTACTATAACTGATTTGGTGAATTGATCCACGACCAAGCGACCTAAGTTCCTGATGAAGCCAAATTTAGACATTAGATCCCAAATTGAATAAGAATAAAAGAGAGAGTATATTTTCTTCTTTTTCTTTTTTTCTCTCATTTTTAGCAAAAATCTTGCATATAATGATGAAGATACCATAGTTGTCAAACTTAGATCAGCTAGACATGTTGATTCGAAAATCCAATGATCCAAGGTTTAACTTGATTTATTTTTAAAATTAAGTTGGTTAAGAAATATGTTCAGATAAATCTAACCGATTCAATCGAAATCGGATTAACTTAATGAATCCGATCAAAATCTAATCGGATGAGATATTGACTTAAAGAAAACATAAATTATTAAACTAAAATTCCAACCTTGGTGCCTTTTCTTTTAAATTGAGATGCTTTTCTAACTCACTACATCAACATAAGCGATACATATAAGTTTTAATGTTGTATTTATTGTTTTAAGCAAGTAAGGATGATAATTTGTCCCATCCGGACGGAGTCCTGTCCTACTCTGACCCGATCAACTCAAGGATTTCTTAAGTTGATTGGGGAACGGGACGGGACACCCCGTCCTATATTTATTTTGAATGAAGAAAGGGCGAGGATGGTATTTACACATCCCGTCTTGTTTGTCCCGCTCCATCTCTCGAAATTATAATTATATCCTATATAAAATCTTTGACTATTAACTTTTAGAATTTATTTTCTATATAAACTATTATTTTTTGCTATAGTTTGAAACTTGATAATAAAATAGGAGGGATGGAAAGAAAATAAAAAATTAAACGAAGCATTGATGCTCCGTGGGAATGCTCATCCTTCCTTGGGGCGAAAATTATATGAGAAATACTGCTCCATGCGGGGCAGGAGGCTAGGATGGGGCTATCCCCGTCTCCCGCTATACTCCCATTCCTACAAGCCAGAGGAAATGTTGAAAAACACAAAATGGTTCGTAAGATTTGAATACTTCACCTCTCTCCTCTTCGCTTATACTATCATCAATTGTCTATAGATATATTTATGATACAAAATGATATTACTGTAATTAATCCGGCGAATTGATTCTCGATCGGGCCACCTGAATCTTTAGTTAAATTAGATCTTAAGTCGAATATGACAATTTTAAAAGAGATTACTATCTTTTATCTTTTTTTATATATTTTTTTTAGCAAAATTATTATGTACTCGTCTTTGCCGGTGAAGTTCACTTCTAGTATGTACTTATTTTACAGTATCACACAATATATATTCTATTAAAATTCATCTTTAAATTTACCATGTAATGTCCTATATCCTATATCAGCGGATTATAAGAAATTTAAATTATATAAAAAGAATGATTAATGGACTCTGTGAATTTTTTTTATTACTTTTTTTTTTTTTTTTAAAGTGCAACTCAACTGCTAGGACTTGTATGCGAGGATCCGTAAAAACAGAGAATCTTTGAAACTGGTCCATGTCGGCCCCTAAACTCATTTTACCTTAATAGCCTTCTTCGTGTTCTTTTGTACAGTAAAAATGTGACATGGATGGGACACTAACGTTGTCTTCTTGTTTCCTGACAATCCTAAAATGTCGGCATTCTTTCATTTTCACTTTTTAAAATTTTGGATTTTTGTTTTCTTGCTCCTCTTGCCCAATTTTTGTACGCAAATGCACAGTACCTATTGGTCCATCTCAAATATTGCACAACACATTGGTCCATAGCACATGCCTCTTTACAGAAATGGTTGCACCAGAATTCGGATTTCGTTTTCGTTGATTATAAATTAGGTTTGTTTGCATTATGATTGTGTAAAATTGAAATAATAGAGAGGTTTTAAAATAATAAAAAATTATTAATATTTACTTCATACATCTATTTCGAAAAAATAAAAAATATATTCTATTCATAAAAAATGATGAAAAATATTTTTATCTAACTTCAATTTTATTTTTTGATTTTCCCTAATATCATCCGACAAATATATACAAATATCATTCTAAAGAGATTTTTATGACATGTCAACAAAGTTTGTTTTTATCGTTTTAAAATATTCTAGTTCTTTATTTAAATTTAAATTTTCATATAACTTCTACTTTATCTGATTCAATGGCCTGAGAGCACAATTCTAGCAATAAATAAGAGTTTAATCCAGCTAATGGTAGAAGGAACATGATAAGATTCATTACATGTTGTTAGTAAATATATTTTAAATAAATACAAAAATATATAATAATATAAAAGATACAGAATGAATTGTACATTATAAAAGCTTTTTTTTTTAATAAAATTTATTCTCAACTATCTAATTTTATACATGATAGCTTTTGGTTATTAGCTTTAAAAAATCAAGTTTTAAAAAAATGCTTGAAGCCATTACACTCATGAAAATAGCACCATACTGAACATGATCAAAAAATTGCATAACTTTTTAGCTATTGCTGCGTTAAAAAAAATATATTTGGTTAACATCATAGGTTCAAAGTGTGTTTGAATTAATAGTAATTATATATATATATATACACACACTTTATTATATACCTTAAAATGGGCTTTTGTAGCATTTTGAACCATTTTAAGCAAAAAAATGTCAAAGCCAACTCGGCCCAAACGGCTTTTGTTTTTTTTTTAATAATAAGGATATTTTCGATTCAATTTTCGTATATTTTCAAATTATTTTTTTGAAATATAATTAAGGAGTATTTCTCAATATATAAATCTGAATATTCTAAAAATAAAATTTAAAAAATATTGATAAACAATAGTACCATGAATCTGATAGACGCTTTAGTATCACCTAATCATACAAGTACAAGTGTGGAGGAAAATAGCTACACTTTTGAGAGGAATGTAGGAATAGTAAATGGACACTGCTAAGTGCTAATCACGGAGCAAATTGCGCGGCTCAAAAATTATATATATATATATATATATATATATACTTTACAGATGAGATTCGTAGGGTCCACTTCGAATTGTGAGCCCAGCTCCCTTTGTTGTTAAGCGTGAAGTCACCTTACCATTCATATCAAAGAAGTAAAATTAAAAAAAAAAGGGAAAAAAAACCCTACGGAATTTGTTCATAGGTTAAAATCTATGGATTAGAGGCGGATTTCAAATTTAATTCTAATTATGAGTAGGTGTCAATTTTTTTACAATTGATGATAATTTTATTTTATAAATTCATAATAATACTCCATAGTAATAATAATAATAATAATATATACCAATATTTTAGTCAAAATAAACAAAAATTTATCAAATACTAGAACAATCAATTAATTTTCATAAATATTTTTTTTACTTTAAACGATATATATATATATTTTTGCCGTCAAGGTTCAAATAGTTAGGCAAATTATTAGTTTAAGTGTGAATAGAAATAGCTAATTTTTTTATTTGATTGAAGAAGTAGATTTAGGTTTGATGAGAAAAAAAAAAGAAGAAGAAGCAAAACTAATACGAGAATATTATTTGATAAAAAGCCAAAAATAAAGGTAAATGAAAAAATAAAAAAAATAATATTAATTGATTTGAATAGAAAAAATTTTAGTTATTTAAATAAGTAATATCGAAT